GTAGGTTCGAATCCCACCGTGGCCGGGCATATTTTCAAGCTCGCCCGGTGTGGATATGCACTCAGAGTAACATGGCAAACATATTATTCACCTGAGTACACAACACCAACACAGAGAAAAAAAAAATTCATATTACTAGAAGATATTGGTATTGAAGGAACCAGATACTGTTCCGAAATATCACTTACTCGAACCGTCCTGACTGCGTAGCTCGGTTGGAAGAGCATTGGGCTAGTATTCCAAAGGTCGTAGGTTCGAATCCTACCGTGGCCGGGCATATTTTTCAAGCTCGCCCGGTGTGGATATGCACTCAGAGTAACATCACAAACATATTATTCACCTGAGTACACAACACCAGCACAGAAAAAAAAAATTCATATTACAAGAACACATTGGTATTGAAGGAACTAGATACTGTTCCGTAATATCACTTACTCGAACCGTCCTGACCGCGTAGCTCAGTTGGAAGAGCATTGGGCTAGTATTCCAAAGGTCGTAGGTTCGAATCCCACCGTGGCCGGGCATATTTTTCAAGCTCGCCCGGTGTGGATATGCACTCAGAGTAACATGGCAAACATATTATTCACCTGAGTACACAACACCAACACAGAGAAAAAAAAAATTCATACTACTAGAAGATATTGGTATTGAAGGAACCAGATACTGTTCCGAAATATCACTTACTCGAACCGTCCTGACTGCGTAGCTCAGTTGGAAGAGCATTGGGCTAGTATTCCAAAGGTCGTAGGTTCGAATCCTACCGTGGCCGGGCATATTTTTGAAGGTCGCCCGGTGTGGATATGCACTCAGAGTAACATCGCAAACATATTATTCACCTGAGTACACAACACCAACACAGAAAAAAAATCATATTACTAGAACACATTGGTATTGAAGGAACTAGATACTGTTCAGAAATATCGCTTACTCGAACCGTCCTGACCGCGTAGCTCAGTTGGAAGAGCATTGGGCTAGTATTCCAAAGGTCGTAGGTTCGAATCCCACCGTGGCCGGGCATATTTTTCAAGCTCGCCCGGTGTGGATATGCACTCAGAGCAACATCGCAAACATATTATTCATGTGAGTACACAACACCAACACAGAAAAATTCACATTACTAGAACACATTGGTATTGAAGGAACTAGATACTGTTCCGAAATATCACTTACTCGAACCGTCCTCACCGCGTAGCTCAGTTGGAAGAGCATTGGGCTAGTATTCCCAAGGTCGTAGGTTCCAATCCCACCGTGGCCTGGCATATTTTTCAAGCTTGCCCGGTGTGGATATGCATTCAGAGTAACATGGCAAAAATATTATTCACCTGAGTACACAACACCAACACAGAGAAAAAAAAAATTCATATTACTAGAACATATTGGTATTGAAGGAACCAGATACTGTTCCGAAATATCACTTACTCCAACCGTCCTGACCGCGTAGCTCAGTTCGAAGAGCATTGGGCTAGTATTCCAAAGGTCGTAGGTTCGAATCCCACCGTGGCCGGGCATATTTTTCAAGCTCGCCCGGTGTGGATATGCACTCAGAGTAACATCGCAAACATATTATTCACCTTAGTACACACCACCAACACAGAGAAAAAAAAATTCATATTACTAGAACATATTGGTATTGAAGGAACTAGATACTGTTCCGAAATATCACTTACTCGAACCATCCTGACCGCGTAGCTCAGTTGGAAGAGCATTGCGCCAGTATTCCAAAGGTCGTAGGTTCGAATCCTACCGTGGCCGGGCATATTTTTCAAGCTCGCCCGGTGTGGATATGCACTCAGAGTAACATCGCAAACATATTATTCACCTGAGTACACAACACCAACACAGAGAAAAAAAATTCATATTACTAGAACATATTGGTATTGAAGGAACTAGATACTGTTCCGAAATATCACTTACTCGAACCGTCCTCACCGCGTAGCTCAGTTGGAAGAGCATTGGGCTAGTATTCCAAAGGTCGTAGGTTCGAATCCTACCGTGGCCGGGCATATTTTTCAAGGTCGCCCGGTGAGGATATGCACTCAGAGTAACAGCGCAAACATATTATTCACCTAAGTACACAACACCAACACAGAAAAAAATTCATATTACTAGAACATACTGGTATTGAAGGAACTAGATACTGTTCCGAAATATCACTTACTCGAACCGTCCTGACCGCATAGCTCAGTTGGAAGAGCATTGGGCTAGTATTCCAAAGGTCGTAGGTTCGAGTCGGGCCGTGGCCGGGCATGTTTTTCAAGCTCGCCCGGTGTGGATATGCACTCAGAGTAACATCGCAAACATATTATTCACCTGAGTACACAACACCAACACAGGAAAAAAAATTCATATTAGTAGAACATATTGGTATTGAAGGAACTAGATACTGTGCCGAAATATCACTTACTCGAACCGTCCTGACCGCGTAGCTCAGTTGGAAGAGCATTGGGCTAGTATTCCAAAGGTCGTAGGTTCGAGTCGGGCCGTGGCCGGGCCATGTTTTTCAAGCTCGCACGGTGTGGATATGCACTCAGAGTAACATCGCAAACATATTATTCAACTGAGTACAGAACACCAACACAGAGAAAAAAAAAATTCATATTACTAGAACATATTGGTATTGAAGGAACCAGATACTGTGCCGAAATATCACTTACTCGAACCGTCCTGACCGCGTAGCTCAGTTGGAAGAGCATTGGGCTAGTATTCCAAAGGTCGTAGGTTCGAATCCCACCGTGGCCGGGCATATTTTTCAAGCTCGCCCGGTGTGGATATGCACTCAGAGTAACATCGCAAACATATTATTCACCTGAGTACACAACACCAACACAGAAAAAAATTCATATTACTAGAACATATTGGTATTGAAGGAACTAGATACTGTTCCGAAGTATCACTTACTCGAACCGTCCTGACCGCGTAGCTCAGTTGGAAGAGCATTGGGCCAGTATTCCAAAAGTCGTAGGTTCGAATCCCACCGTGGCCGGGCATATTTTTCAAGCTCGCCCGGTGTGGATATGCAGTCAGTGTAACATCCCAAACATATTATTCACCTGAGTACACAACACCAACACAGAAAAAAATTAACATATATGATATATATTAAACCAATTTAGATTGATGTATTTTATTTTATTCAAAATAATATAGGGGCCTTATATCAGAAGTCCAACAGGATTTCAAAAGGTCCCTAGCTCCTTTATATTATTGTATTTTAACTATATTCCCATTGTAAATATTTTTTGGGAACAAATGTATTCTTTTCTATTTCTTTCTAACAAAGCTACTCAATTCAAACCACAGCATGTCAACATAGAACAGACCTATACAAAACCTCTTGTATTATCAAATCTATTTCTCATGGACACTAATTACACGCATGCCCAGTAACGACAGTCATTCCACACAGCTCAAATATTCCCGCGACATGTTTATCATGGAGCGCTATATATAACACCACAGCATGCAGTCATATAAAATAAACGAGCATTCATACCAGCTAAAGCTTACCGCATGAGCAAGGCTGCTACGGTGCACTGGTTACACATATGCCAAATACAGATAGTTATTTCACACAGCTCAAGCCTTCTAGCGATAAATTGACCGGGGGGCGCTGCAGACAAAACCACTTCCATAACTGAATAAACGATCATTCACACCAGTTCAAGCTTCCCGTATTATCAAGTATTCCACGGGGCACTGGTTACACATGTACCAAACAAATCAGTATAGTCATATCACACAGCTCAAGCCTTCCCACGACATATTTTTCACGGGGCGCTGTAGACAAAACCACATTCATATAGCTGAATAAACAATCATTCACACAAGTTCAAGCTCCCCGTATTATGAAGTATTCTACGGGGCACTGGTTACACATGTATACCAAACAAATATAGTCATTTCACACAGCTCAAACCTTCCCACGACATATTTGTCACGGGGCGCTGTAGACGGGTTGTTCCCATATTAGATTATCCAATTCGTCGACACACATGCATGTACCAACAATCAGTTATTCATTTCAACGATAAATAACCAGCCTTCGAATTAGCATTGCCGCCCACGAGCGGGCCTATACTGTTGTTGTGAATGGGTTTAAAGATTTCAAAAGATAAGGCACAAGACGCCATATACCACATCAAGACACTTATTTTTGACAACATACGGCTTCACTAAAAACTGGATTAACTCAAATTTCACAAGCAATACTATAACCCGCCTTGATTAGCCACCCTATAACGGAGGGGAGCCATATACAATTAAACTCGTATAAGGCGCTCATGCACGGGCATATTACCATAGGCATATTACCATTACAATATAAGGAACACAGTTATTCCTCCAAATCTTCCGGGATTTGTTGCCGTTGTTGCGCTACTGGAGGATCTTGTAGTAAGACTTCGGCATGATCGAGGCCTGAACAAGATAGTGCTCTTCCTCTGCCATGACTCTCAACGAAATTCGTACAGTTCGGGTCGCCTAATTTTTGTCTTTCGGTCTGATTTGTGTCTCCTGACGGGAATTTACGCCAATTCTGCTAGGTGTGGTCATTTTATACATTGCTGGCAATTGTTAGAGCGTATAGCTAATATAGTTCAAAATAAGTAAATTATTTGCTAATTTGCAATCGAGGCCATCCTGGTTGATTTTTCATAAAATTTTTATTCTTCATTCTTTGAAGCCAGATACATCAATTTGTTACCCACATCGCCATGAAACAAAACCTTTTATTCGCATACCAAGTGATCGTAATTCCGTTGTTACGAAATGCCTTAGCCCTAGTGACATGCAAATAAGTTGGTCACAAAACATTCCCTAGAATTGCCAACAAATTCCAATAAATTCTCCAGACTGCCCGTCCATTTTACTCTCCCATCTTCAGTAAGTTCAAACCATTCAAAATATACATCGGCAAAGTATCAAAAATTACAGTTTTAAGCTGAGCTAGTTTTATCATTCTGATCTGAGCTGCATGCATAAAGTGTTGTGGCAGCCATGATTCACAGGGGAACCCCTAGATAACAGGGTAACATGCGAAATCCCATTTAGATCAGTCAGGTTGTTGATGTTGAGTCCTAGTTGGATTGGTAACCAATTATTGGTAAAATAGGCTCAAATATTAAAGAAGCCATCTCTATCATTAGGTCGCATTTGCGACCTGAAAGACCTGTAAAATACACTCCACGTGGCACGTCCCTGTCATTATTTATTTAATTAATTGCATTCTTTAAATGATTTGGTATAAATTACTTACACAAGTGATATGGGAACCATCTATAGATTATTACTCGCCTTTGGCTCTGGGAGTTGGGTGTTTTTTGTGTACCAGGGTTGATACCTTATTACATTGATTGAAACCTTTGTAATGAACAGTGCATAAATTGATTATTTAAATCAGTGGCGGCGGAACTGTTTTTATTTTGGAGGGGCTAACTCCAATAAAATATCCGCCATTAAATTGGTGTGGGGGCGGGGGGAGGAGGCTATCGTCCCCCTAGCCCCCTCCCCGTTCCGCCGCCTATGTTTAAAATATTTCTAAGTTATTGTTTTATTTCTTTACAGTCCAATTAAAATATCACGATCACGCTTATATACGTGAG